TAATCCCTCACTAACATTGCTTATTTTCATTTTTCTTCCATTCAAAATATCAGAAAGAAGTTGTGTTTGTATTTGAACTAAGCCATTGGGTTGATCTGAAACTTCTTTGATATTTTCAAGGAAGCTGCTTCCTTCAAATATTCTAAAGTTTGAATTGTAAACAGTCTTTGCGATGGTTGTTTTCCCTATTCCACTCATCCCATAGATTACAAGTATGCCAACATCAGTTGACCTCCGTTGTAACCAGAAATTAATTCTTTCGACTCGAGAATGCATTCCAACCAAGTTGGGAGAAACACTCAATGGTGTGCGACTTAGTTTGTCTCCAATCACTTTAACTATTTTCTTGATGAACTTCGACTCGTACCTAAAAAATTGCAATAAAAATGAAAGAGAATTCAAACATGCATGCATGATTTCATATACTTAAGTTATAAAATACCATGGAAATAAGTTCAGAAAGTTAGAAGGTACAAATATATGACAGATGAGTGCTGAAAGAGTTAGATAGAACTTAAAACTATGTTTGCAATAACAGCTGGATAATAGGTCTTTCTCTGTCTTTGCATCTCAGTCCCGGATGCCTTTAGAAGAATCTGGATTGCTGAGGGTGTCTTGAGTGTTTTTGTGAATGTGTTTTTATCAATAATTTTTATTTTATTTTATTTGAAAGGACAGAATCTATCAAAATTTTGAACCAAATAAAGAAACTAATTCAGTTGGTAGTAGGAATGAAATTACCCATGAGCTTGATTTTGCAAGACCATCCCTGCCAGATCTGCAACCTCTGCAAGTGCCTCTCTCCATGCCTTCACCTTCGGCAGTGGTTGAGTTTTTTGGTGTCTAGCAAATGCCTTTGCAAGACTTCCTGTCTGCTTCTTTACATGGGATGGATACACATCGTAGAAGACAGGCAAAACGACATGGTCATCTGAGGTCTTCCTCTTGCGTTCAAGGATCATCACCAGCTCGTCAAGGCACCATCTGGATGACGCGTAGTCTTTCGAGAACACAATGACAGAAGTTCGTGAGTGTTTGATTGCTTTCTGCAGTTCGGGCTTGATACCTTCTCCTCTCTCGACTTCATCGTAGTCTCGGAAAGTGCGAAATCCGGCGTTGACAAGGGCCGTGTAGAGGTGGTCAGTGAAAGTCTTGCGAGTGTCTTGGCCTCTGAAACTCAGGAACACGTGATAACGATAATATCCAGAAGTACTGGAAACAGAGGAGGTTTGTGGATCGGCTGCTCTCACAAGAGCCATGGATATCGACGACTTGAAGTGGTCAAGAAACAAACTAGTGTTTGCTGGTGTCTCATCGAAAGCCAAGCTTGTTATGATGAATTGCAGAATTCAATGAATGAAAAGACAGCCTACCCATAACTCCATTGACTTGACTTGAAAAGCGATTAGGCTAACGTAGACGACAGAAACAGAGTGTCCCTTAATCTTCAATGTCCTCCTTTCACTCTGTGACCTTTACCAGTAGTTTCACTTTTCTCAATTTCCTTTTTTTTATTGCCAATTGCCTTTGGAATGGATTTGGTGATGAGACTTGGCTTGGCTTAATAATTACTTGTTGTTCCTGTTTATATATAAATGTCTCTTTTTACATATTCAATTTTGATCTGGGTGTTATTATGTGTTTTCCTTGTTCCTGTTTACATATTCAGCTTTAGATTCACACTTTGTTTTGCAAGCTAGCTAGGTTGTGACATTTTTTTGTTAATGTCCATGTCATGGATTTGTTGGACCAATCGGTTGCTTCCATTTGGCGCATTCGGAACGCTACACTTGGCAGACGAAATTCGGCAGTGGACTTTGAGCAGACAAAGAATGAAGTCTTGGCTTTGCTAGTTATCATGGGAAATGATTATGGCTGCGTATACCACATTAATGGGGTTGGCAATGTGTGCCTTTTGATATCATAATATCAATCTAATTCCTTCCTCATGCCTGGGGTTTTCAACTATGAGAGGAAACTTGAATTCCTCGCCGGAGATTAGCTGAAACACGTCTGAGACATCACAGTAAGAGGATAGGATTTTGGAAAATCATTCTTGTCCATAGGCAGCGTTCCTTACACTAATGCAAGACGCAACGGAAAGGTCAGTTTTTTTCTTTGTTTTCAATACAAATCTAGCCGTCATCTCTAGCTCCTCGTCTGTGAAAATTGTTGTGTCTCCTCTCCATGTGAAGCAATTTGCTACTCTAACAATAACCCTACATTTTTCTGGAACAACTTGGATCTTAGCTTAATAAACTTATGCTTGTTCACACTGAAATAAATAATTAACTACTTGATATTTTATATCGTCTTAATTACTAATGCAACTAGGAGGGTCCGTTATTCATATTTTTTTATTGTATAGCCGATTGGCCATACTACCGTTTTTTTTAAGAAAGATAGTATAGCCAACCAGCTATACCTGGTTTTTGCCCTTTTTTTTATAAAAGAAATAGTATAGCCGCGTGGCGATACGGGGCTTTTTCCAATTTTGGTTAAAGAAATAATATAGCCGCTCGGCTAAACTTGGTATTTTCCTAATTTTTCAAAAAGAAATATGTTAGCCGTTCGGCTATACTCGGTTGTTTGCTAATTTTCTAAAAAATGAAATAGTATAGCCGCTCGGCTATACTAGTTTTTAATTTTTCAAAAAAGAAACAGTATAGCCGTGCCATGGTGGCCGTGAAGCATCAATGAACAAATGTAGCAATCCAGCATTCAAATTAGTTGTGTTCATTTCTGTGGGATCAATTTTTAATACATGATCCCTCTGTGATGTTTGTTCTTACACTATTAATGTACAGTGAAAATTTTCAATCTGAAAAATGATTCATTATTGAGAATTTAAATTCATTATAAATGCAATTCTTTGGTCTTGAACATTGTCTTCAAAATGGTGTATGTTTTCATAAATTTTGAATTTACTTACCCCTTCCACTCTATGTCATTCGAGGGATTCAAACACAATCTAAGATTGTAGGCTGTTTTCGTAAAAGAAATCCAATCTTCTTGTTTGTTTTTTTTTTTGGTCAATAAGAATTTTCATTAAAGGAGGTAAAAGAAATCCAATATGAGATAGCTGCCACGCTTGGCACTTGCATGAAGGGGGCGAGATTTGTTAATTCAAGGGATTCAAATTTAAGACCTCATTTAACGAAGTGAACATCTGGTTAGACATAGACTATTATCAAAATAATAAATGAAAATTAAGGGTGCATTTGAATTTGACAACCAACATACAGAGATAAAATCTATGAAATGCAAAGAACTTCATTTTGGCAATTGAAACGTAAGATGTATCTTTCAATGTGGGTCTACATATAATGGATCTTGTAATGTTATCTAAATTTCTATATCTTAGTTTTTTTTTTTTCGAAAGTTGGGAAGGGGAGGGGTATTCAAACATTATCGAGGTTTCAGAGAGGTTTGAATCTGAGACCACTTGTATGCAAATCAAACTCTTTTTTCACAGGATTAGACTTCGTTGGCTTCTATATGAGCTCTCCCGATCCAAATAAGCCTTCAAAGTCCTTAAGTTTAAATATTTTTATTTCATTAAACATGCTGATCCACTATATTTTTTCTTTATGATTTTCCAGACGCGTGGGTGAAAATGTTTTAGTAACATAATTTCAAACAAAGAAATTGCTTTTGATAAAAAGTTAGTTAGGTTTTTTTTTTGGTCCGAAAGCTAGGTTGGTTTAAAAATAAATAAAGAGAAAACGACAAAAATAGATTAGATCTAACGGACGGTCACGATCAGGAATAGTTGCTTCATATCGGACGGTCACGATCAGTTCTTCGATCACCGCGTCTAACGAACGCAGTACTTCTTTCCTGGCGCCAGTTGGAAAGTATCCAGCCTACGCCGACTATATATACACACATAGAAGATCAGCTTCAGGCCAGAGTGATCAAAGTTTCGCTTACAGTTAGGGTTTCAATCGCAACGAAAGCAAAAGGCATTTTCTTTCTTTCTCCGTGATCGTTTTCTTTCTCATTGATCGTTCGTCCATTTGGATTGACTGTGCTTCGAAATCAGTCCAGACGATAATCGAATAGCTTCAAAGCTCAAAGCTCTCGCCCAATCGAATCGATCAGGTTTGCTTCTTCTCTTCACGCGTCTCTGCAATCGCATTGTTCCTTCTAGAGTTTTGTTCGTTTTCGACCGTTAATTGATACCCAAGAGGCTATTTTTTTCGCGGAACGCGTATATCTTGAGGATAATGGTTTTTGGTTATGGGTTTGATGCTCGCTCAAACTGGATATCTAGGGTTTCGATTTTAGGGTTATTTTTATTGTTGTTTAGGATACGCCTTGGGATCGGCGACTGGCTAGTTTGAAAAGTTTTCGAATTGATTTAAAGGATTTGAAGAATCCGCCCTTGCTAGTTTCTCGATTCTTAGAGGGTGATCGTACGTCGATTTGGATTTCAAGGCTTATCGGGTTTCGTATATTTTTAGGGTTTTCTGAAGATCGATCAAATATTGAAATTCTGTTTGAGGAGGTGATCTTCGAAGCCGTCTCTCTGCGATTTCTTATTGGTTTCAAAATTTGTGTTTAGAGAATGGCCACTAAGGTAGTGAGGAGGCACACCAATAGACCAGAAAGATCAGTGTATGCTCGACCTGCAGGAGGACCTTCAAAAACTGTTTGCGCCTTTTGGGCTGCTGGAAGGTGCACAAGGGAATTCTGTCGTTTCCTGCACGCGGATGCACCGCCTTCATCCATGAACCCTCAAATTTCAAAGAAGTCGACTCTTGTTTGGACGAAGGAAGCAACTGCCACCGAAAAGGGCAATGCATGCAATGCTACTCAGAAAAGCAATGCTCCTCACGAAAGCAATGCTCCTCAGAAAAGCAATGCTGCCCAGAAAAGCAATCCTACTCCGAAAAGTGTCTGCAAGTTCTGGGTAGATGGAAATTGTGTGAAAGGTGATCGATGCCGGTATTTGCATAACTGGTTCCGTGGTGAGGGGTTCTCCATGTTGGCAAAGCTCCAAGGGCACACGAAGGTATTTTTCATTTTGGAAGTATGTTTTCTTTTTTAATTTGTTCTGTTCCTCTTTATTTCCGAGTTTGGACAATCATAATAATTGTGAAATTTATGTTAACAGTCTGTCACTGGTATTGCCCTTCCTGAACGAACTAACAAGCTTTATTCAACCAGTAAAGATGGAACAGCCAGAGTTTGGGACTGCCATAGTGGTGAATGTGGCAGTGTGATTGATCTTGGTGGTGAAGCAGGTTCTTTAATTAGTGAGGGCCCATGGGTTTTTGCTGGTGTACCAAATCTTGTTAAGGTATTTCATTGTTGTAACTGGAGCACTTTCTTTTAGTAGCTTGGTTGGTTCAACTTCAATATGTATGCTGATTTTGCTTGATGTTGCAGGTTTGGAATACTGAGACAAATTCTGAATTCAACCTGGATGGACCTGTTGGCCAAGTGCATGCTATGGTGGTTGGTAATGAAATGCTTTTTGCCGGGACACAGGTAAAGAGCCCAACAATTCTCCAGCTTTCCTAATTATTGCGTAGCTGGGATTTTAGGATATATGCTCCTCCTTTTATTCATAGTGCACCGTTTTCAATTGATTTATCTGTTTCTTTTAATATTGCAGAATGGTGATATATGTGTGTGGAAAGGTAGCACTGAAACTAATCCGCCATTTTATACTGCTGCAACTCTGAAGGGCCACACTGGTGCTGTGGTATGTTTAACTGTTGGGCGCAACAGGCTTTACTCGGGTTCTGTGGACCATACAATTAAGGTAAGTTTGTGGCATCTACAAACAAGTTTTGTCAGTTTCTACTATATGTCCTCTCCTCTATATACAAGAGAGGGAGCAAAATGATTTATTCCAATAATCTGATTATGGAGTGCTTCTGTATTCAAATTCCTCGTGTAATTTACTGTAATGTTCTTTTTGTTTCAGGTGTGGGACCTTTATACTTTGCAGGGTGTTCTGACACTAAATGGGCATTCTGGTGCAGTGATGTCTCTTCTTTGCTGGGATCAGTTCTTGCTCTCATGCTCACTGGACGACACGATAAAGGTGTGGGCTGCCAGTGAAGGAGGCGGTTTGGAAGTGACCTACACTCACAACGAAGAGCAGGGTGTTCTTGATCTTGCCGGAATGACAGATGCAGAAAGCAAGCCAATCTTGCTTTCTTCTTGCAATGATAATTCTGTCCGCATATATGAACTGCCATCATTCACTGAAAGAGGCAGATTATTTGCAAAACAAGAAGTTCGGACGGTCGAGGTAGGACCTGGAGGACTATTCTTCAGTGGGGATGCAACTGGTCTCCTTTCTGTTTGGAAGTGGATGGATCCTCCCTCCGTCAAAGTGGAGTCTTCATGAGTTACTTTACTCCATCTAGTTCCGTGAATATTTTAGACAAGAACATTTCCTTCAGTTTGCATGAGCCATTGCTATGGTGGCCGTGAAGGCATCAATGAACAATTGTAGCAATCCTGTATCAAAATTTTTGACAGCCAGTCAGTTATTCAGATTAGTTTTGTTCATTTATGTAGGGATCAATTATTAATACATGATCTCTCGGATGCTTGTTCGTACTCTGTAATGTACAGTGAAATTTTTCATTCAGAAAAATGATTCATTATTGAGAATTTAAATTCATGATAAATGCAAAATTCTTTGGATTTGAACTGTCTTCATAATGGTGTCTGTTTATATTAGTTTTGAATTTACATTGTGGATTATCAAATGTATGAGAGCCTGAGCAGAACTAATGTATAAAAAAAATCAATATTTTTGCTCATCATTATAACCCAAGGTATACTCAGTATAACTCAGGGTATACTCAGTATTTGACATGTGTCCATGATGAGCTTAACCGTGGTTATGCCCATGGAGTGAGAGTACACCTTGGTTAAAGTGGTGAGCAAAAACGTTCTCATAAAAGAAATCCAATCTAATAGCTGCCATGCTTTTCGAGTTAGGACCTCATCTAACGAAGTACTTTGCAGGGTGTTCTGACACTAAATGGGCATTCTGGTGCAGTGATGTCTCTTCTTTGCTGGGATCAGTTCTTGCTCTCATGCTCACTGGACGACACGATAAAGGTGTGGGCTGCCAGTGAAGGAGGCGTTTTTTTCTTTGTTTTCAATACAAATCTAGCCGTCATCTCTAGCTCCTCGTCTGTGAAAATTGTTGTGTCTCCTCTCCATGTGAAGCAATTTGCTACTCTAACAATAACCCTACATTTTTCTGGAACAACTTGGATCTTAGCTTAATAAACTTATGCTTGTTCACACTGAAATAAATAATTAACTACTTGATATTTTATATCGTCTTAATTACTAATGCAACTAGGAGGGTCCGTTATTCATATTTTTTCCTAATTTTTCAAAAAGAAATATGTTAGCCGTTCGGCTATACTCGGTTGTTTGCTAATTTTCTAAAAATGAAATAGTATAGCCGCTCGGCTATACTAGTTTTTAATTTTTCAAAAAAGAAACAGTATAGCCGTGCTATGGTGGCCGTGAAGCATCAATGAACAAATGTAGCAATCCAGCATTCAAATTAGTTGTGTTCATTTCTGTGGGATCAATTTTTAATACATGATCCCTCTGTGATGTTTGTTCTTACACTATTAATGTACAGTGAAAATTTTCAATCTGAAAAATGATTCATTATTGAGAATTTAAATTCATGATAAATGCAAAATTCTTTGGATTTGAACTGTCTTCATAATGGTGTCTGTTTATATTAGTTTTGAATTTCCATTGTGGATTATCAAATGTATGGGAGTCCGAGCAGAATTAATATATATAAAAGAAATCAATATTTTTACTCATCACTGTCCAATCTTCTTGTTTGTTTTTTTTTTTGGTCAATAAGAATTTTCATTAAAGGAGGTAAAAGAAATCCAATATGAGATAGCTGCCACGCTTGGCACTTGCATGAAGGGGGCGAGATTTGTTAATTCAAGGGATTCAAATTTAAGACCTCATTTAACGAAGTGAACATCTGGTTAGACATAGACTATTATCAAAATAATAAATGAAAATTAAGGGTGCATTTGAATTTGACAACCAACATACAGAGATAAAATCTATCAAATTCAAAGAACATCATTTTGGCAATTGAAACGTAAGATGTATCTTTTGTTAGAGTTTGTATAGGAAAAGACACTTGCATTTAGTCCCACATTGGAAGAGAGTAATTTCCTTCCATGGTTTATAAGCACCAACACATTAGAAATACTAAATAGAGCATGGGCCTAGTGGAGGCAAACTTGGGCCTCAAAATGGTTTGAGCTTGGATTATATGTATATTTGTGTAATAAATATATATATATAATTAATTGTCAAAAGATGGGCCTTGGGCCTTTAGGGCTCTGTTGATTTAATTAATAATTTATTTTTATTAATTGAAAATTCCGTTTTTTCAGATAAAACCAAAATCTGAAATTCAAATTAATTAAACAGTTAACATAACTGTTGGATGAAGAGGTGTCAGACCTCTATATATTGACAATACGATCAAACCAGAAGAACACCTTTTGAACTGCATTATCATTCTCACATTTTAACACTTCCTGAGAGAATTCATACCACTGTTCGCTAGAAATCAGAGTCACTGTGCTTAGGCTTAGATTTAAGATAGTTTAATCCTGGTGGACAGACTCCTATCGAACTACAAGCACAAGGGTAGAGGAGAAATACTATCTAAAAGACACTGCAAATCTGCATGACTCTATCTACAATTCAAGTCAGTATTCTACAATCTATATTACTGTTGTATTGATTCAATTATATTTATATAAAATATATTTGTTGGTTTTTTATTATTCTGTTATTTTGGGTTTATACTGATTGTTCTACAACATCTTTCAACTTCATCTTCAACCAGACAACCATATACAATGTATCAAAGTGCTCAAGGTCAGGGAGTTAAGCCACCTGAGGTCTCTTGGTTACAATTCATCATATATTTAATCCTATAACTAGGGAAGTGGTATATCAAAGTAGGGTGGTGAGATTATCACACTTAGTCAGCTAGTTTTCAAATCATTCAGTATGAGTCATATCAGACTGTGTTTCAAGTACAACTTAGTTGCAGGGTATTTATGATAGTTGGTAACGGTAGGCTTCTTTCAATAATTGGTGCAAAGTGAGGTGCATAACAGTGAGCACAAATATGGGTGATACCTTTAGCCAATCCCTTTGTTCCGCATATTTCCTAAGAATACTTTCTCCAGTAGCACTGGCTTCTTCAAGCATGCGATAAGAACTACGAACTGACGCCCTTGCTGGTGCCTCATCATCAAAGATTCTCAAAACATGAGCACCCTCCCCATTCTACATCATAAGACAAAGGCATATTAAACAAAGGCATACATCAGAATGAGGTAGTAAACAAAAAGTAAAAGGGTTGGGAGTTGCGTACAGCTCTTCCAAGCAACTCTGCCCTCTCTCTGGCTTCTTGGGCCCTCTTCTGATTCCTCAAATTATACTTATCCAGACTTTCTTTCAAAGACTGAGCCTCTTCCGCTATTTGTTCTAAAAGAAATACTATAGCCGCACGGCTATGCCCGGTTTTCCCCCTAATTTTTCAAAAAGAAATAGGATAGCCGCATAGCTCTTTTTAAATTTTTTTTTTAATAAATAAATAGTATAGTCGAGCTGCTATACTCTTTATATATATACTATGATCCTCTTTTTCTTTTATATTTTTTCTCCGATTTTTGTTTATCGATAAGAGTAGTTTAGAACATTATCTATTACTATTAAGCCATTATCCGAGTCTCTATTGTCCTTTTTTGATTTTTTACTTTTCCAGAGTTATTACTCTTATAAAGAATTTAGCAATTTTCCGTTTAATACTGTATTATACATGTACGTGTTAAAGAATCTATATCAATAATAAATCCGTGTTTTGTACACGTGTTAAAGAATCCGTAAAATTCACGTTTTTCAAAAAAGCAAAAGTACAATACTCGTATTGAACCTGTACGTACCTAATATTTCATGTTAAAAACATGTATTTTTTAGAAAATTTTCAATAATACATAGGAAATTCATGTATTATACACATAATTGCCAAAATTTTGCCGAATAAAACACGTATATATTTTATTCGTATACCCTCACGGCTATATCAAATAAATATCTATGGAGTATAAACTAATGCAACTAGAAGGGTTTTTTTTCATAATTTTTTTATGCGAAAATTTAAACAAATAAGTATAGCCGCACGGCTATACTATCTACAACGTATAAACTAATGCACCTAGGAGGGTCCCTTTTTCATAATTTTTTTTTTTAATTAAATAGTATAGCGCGGCGCTACTTGGTTTTTTTAATTTGTTTTTAAAAGAAATAGTATAGCCGATCGGCTATACTCGGTTTTTTGAATTTTTTTAAAAAAAGATATTAGGGAAAGCGAGTAGAGCCGCACGAGTATACTAATTCTTTTTTAACAAATGGGAAAAAACTGAGTATAGCCGCACGGGTGTACTATATCTTTTTAAAAAATTAAAAAAACCGAGTATAGCCGACCGGCAATACTATTTCTTTTATAAAAAAAATTCTAAAAACCGAGTATAGATAATTTATAAATAAACCCAATCCTAAACATGTATTTATAAAAAAAACCCAAGCACTATTTAAATATAGAAACACACCCAAAATCAACAATTGTATATTTTTTTGGTGTGTTTATAAATGGGTTTTGAGTGTGTGTAATGATGGTTTTTGGGTGTGTTTATAAAGTGTTTTGGGTGTTGGGTTTTTTTATAATTTCAGCCCCCATTTTGGGTGTTTTAGTGAAACTCCCTAAAAAAAGAGCCGAGCAACGCCGCTCAGATATACTTTTTTATAAATAAAAAAAAAATTAGAAAAAAGGGAGTACAGCCGCCCGGCTATAAAGTTTTGAAAAAAATTGGGAAAACCATGTATATCCGCGTGGCCATTCTATTTCTTTTTTAAAAAAAAATAGGAAAAATCGAGTATAGGCGTGCGGTAATACTATTTATTTTTAAAA